TGGATTAAGGGTAGTAGCAGTGGAGAAAAGTGACAACTGGCCTGATGTGGGAGAGATTTACAAGTACCCTGACAGGCCTATTATCTGATTGGACGTGTGAGGGGAAGGAAAGGGAGGCACCAAGAGTCATCTCCAATTTTCTCGTTGTTAATGGCAGTGGTGGCATCAACTGGACTCTCTCATAGTCACTGTGACCTCAAGGTTCAAGCTCAGTTCAAAGGTTGCCTTCTCAGACCAGGCCTTCACTAACCATATTCTTTCCACGGGCATCCAGAAGCTACTCTTCTTTCTGATCGTCCTATTTATTTCTCTCACCACTGTTATTATTATCTTATTTCCATACAAAAATATACACATATCTTGAATCTGCCTCAAGTCTTCTGTGCAAAGAGGCAGGATTGAAATAGTTATTTCATATATTCTAGCTTAAAGACATCATTACAATGTCTATCTCTAACATTTCTTTTATTCTGCTTAAGTTATTTCTCAGAAGTAAGTACATGCACACTGAGAAATCTTATGAGTTTTTGTGAGGATTAGTAAATTAATGCCTGTATTGAAATGGTGGGATTATACCTAGGGCTTCAATAGGGGAGGGGAAACCCTGCAGTTAAAGATAATAATTATGAGAGAGATGGATACTATTTGCATTTCAAATTTTGACACAAAATTTGACACAGTTTGCTTTGAAATAAGCTTTGACATTTTATGGGATTTATTATATCAAACATTAATCAGGTGTCAAAACAATTCATGATGAAGTTACTCATATTGTTTAAGTACAAAGCTACCATTTCTTTGAAAGATCTGCCTATTTTTTCTATAAATCTGAGTCAAGTAAGTATATAAACAATAAAATGCTTCTAGCTTACAACTGAATGTAGGCTAAATGAGCCTGAAGATGTGGAAATTCCACTAACCTCTGATCAAATTAACAAGCAATTTACTTTCATTCCATAGTAGATCTACAGAGGCTAAAAGAATGGAGAAATTAAGATCTGGGTGACAGGATTCAACCAGTCTTCCAGAGCAAATCACCGGCTTATTTTATACTGTAAACAGAAACATCATTTCTAGACCTTCACATCCTTCTTTAGAAAATGCAGGAAGAATCTTACATTATCTCAAAAGCTGTCAGTAGTTTGTGTGCAAACAGACGAAAAGATATTTCAGTTTGCTAGAAATAAGAAGACTATTTCCCAGTAACAATTCAGGCATATCTTTTTCATATAATAGTTGGACCAGGTAATGAAGTAGGAAGCAGACCTTACTTTACATGTAAATAAATACAGAAAGTCTTCACAACTTTAATTTCACAATTTCCAATTGAAAAAAAGACAGGAGGGATTATAAAGTGCAATGAATTCTTTAAAGGTATGCAAAATAGAAAGTATAAACTCCTTTTTGATAACATGAGTCCAAGCTAGAGGTCAAGCTGAAGCCAGAGACTATGATTTCAGCAAACAGTCATTAAGAAATGTGAGAAAACAGGATATTTTACCACATATGTTAGAGAAGGCAGAGCTCTAAACTAATTTGTTGGCTTCCAGTATGACCAGAAACATATTTTTAAAACATTAATTTGAAGACATATGTACCTAATCTCACTATCTATTTAATCTATCTTTGTATCCAATCATCTGTTTATCTTTGTACCTACCTTTCTGTCCACCCATTCATCCACCTACCCACCCACCTACCAATCTCTCTTTCCCTCTCTGCCCCTACACTCCACCACTGCACCTTTTTGTACAACTTTTGCTTTTCCCCTCTATACAAATTATTAAATCTCATGATTATGAAAGTATTCTGGCCAGTTTGTAACAAATTTCTTCTGCCTTTAAAGGCTTAGATTTTCTCTAGTGAAATGTAATCTATTCTTTAATATCACTCAAAATTTAATCTATAATTTCACCAGTATGTAAGGGGCCTGAATTCATTTGTGAGTCAGAAACCATCAAGATTCTCTGCTTGCTTTCTCCCTCCTGGCCTGACTGTAGGGGGAAAAAACATTACTCATTTCTTAATGAAAATGAAAATCTAAGGTTTGCTTTTTCCAACTAAAGTAAGCACCCTGATCCACTTATTTGTGTATACTTGCTGTCTACAGTGGTACCTGACATACAGTGTGTGAACAGTACCAATAACAAAATGAAAGATCCTCCCATGGGAAAGATGCAGTGACTGCGATCCAGGGTGGTCTTTTCTTTAAAGCCCTCAGGAATTCCCCACAGGCACTATAAAGCCATAAGAGATGGGCCTCAGGTTCCAAGGTACGTTCACCCACAAACTTGCAGAGGGAAAACTGAATACACTGTTTAAATGAGAGAATCGCCCCTTCTTTTCTTTTTTCATCTATGCTTTTATTGCGGGTAACAAGTGTTACTCTATGTTAAAAGTCTGAACCACAATGAGCAGAGGAGGGAAGGAACAAATTATTCCGGATACCTATTTCACTTTTACTTTTTCACACTGGCATTAACAAACAAATTAAAGAAAAGCAGGGAGGTCAGAACAGAGGAAGGAGGATGGAACAAGGGAAAGGGAGGAGGGGTGAGAGAAGGGAAGCAAAAACTGTGAACTCTGCTGGTTACTTTCCATTTGCTAATTCAAGGAAGGCCTCTTTCCATCCTCCTCCATCCTTCTCTCTGCCCTAGGAGGTGGACTTACATGATGTTAGTAAGAGCACCCCTCTTCTCTGGCTTTTGTTTGGGTTTGGCCAGTGGTGAGGCTGGGCAGGTGAGGAGGCTGGAAGAGGTGAGTGGGTGAGATCAGAGTATTTATTCCCCTAGATCTTTTCTGAAGAGTTGCCTGAGGCTAGGTTGTGTCTCTTGTCTGTATAGGTCATCTTTCCTCTCAAGGATACCCTGTTACCAGTTTTCCGTCATTCCATTGATCTGGCAACAGAGGCCTGGGGTTGGGAACAGCTCCATCCCTGTTACTAGCTCTGGGTTCCTCTCAAGCCCTTGCAGTTCACCTCTGCTCCCACAAATGCCACTGTAAACAAGCCCTCTTCAAAGGTTCCATCTGTTTGTTTTTGGGACTCAGGTCCTGAGGGAGTAAATGAGCAAAGGGATGAATTCTGTGGAAGATGCTTTGGGGAGGAGGGAGAGAAAATAGGGACAAATAACTCTGTGGACAGTGCATACAAATTCTCTCTCAGAAGCTTACGATGTGAATAGTTAAAAGTGTTAGAGTTTTGTGGTAACCTGTTCAACTATCATTTATGTTTAATGAATAGCATAAATACTTGGAGGTATAAGTACAAGACTGGAGAAAAGTGAAGAGAGACTAGGTAAGTGGGTGTGGGATATAAAGGCCATCATGATCTATTCACAGTGTAGCCAGTGTTGTGGCTAAATGTGACATGTTGGTAAAGGTAGACCCAGCTAAACACCAGCTCCAGCACTGACCTGGCAATAGTTACATAAGCCAATTCACAGGGCTCAAAAACCTCCTGTTATACTTTTGACAATTCTATAAATGTATAAGTAATCAAGCTAAGGTATTATTATAAATTCCAACTCTCTAGATTGAATAATCTTAATATAATTATAATACAACATAATTTTACAGGTGCTACAGGATTACGCAGAAATGCTCCAAAAGAACGGAACATACTTGCTATAAAACAAAAACATTCCATCCCTAAATCAAATGGGCAAGAGCTGTCTGCTCTTTGCAAGGAATTGTGCCTTTTGTCACAAGATTAGCAGGTCTGCAGAGGAAAGAAAAGAATTAAGCATCATTATCAGTTAAAGTCACCAGTAATTTCTGCAATGAAATAGGCCAACCATATTCAGGAATTAACATGAAAACACTCACTTTCTAGGTGAATTATTACTGAATTAATATTAACCCCCGGGCTTAGTATGTAGGGAATATCTTTTAAAAGTCGCTAATGTAAGGAGATATGCTACTGATCTTTTAATCTGATCACATCCAGGAAGAGTTACTTGCCCTGGGGTCTGAGCTACATTGTAATAAAATCAAAGGACATAAAAACTGTGGCAGGACCAGTACTGAAATTGGAGAAGCATCATTATGAATAGCAACAAGTATGGAGATGCACATGTAAGAGGGTAACTGGAGTCAATATAACCACTGTTCTTCCATGATTTAGGGTAAATAGACGGTTATGGCTCATCTGCTAAAGAATCTACTGGGTAGATATTTATGGATTATTGAACAGTATATTATTGAGGATAAGCCTGGTTAAAAACAAATAGAGAAAAGAGCAAATGGTACAGAGAGGCTTTTAGTAAGGCCGTCACTTGTAATACTTCTCAGGAAAAATCTCTTTCAGAAATTCCTCAGCATAGCTAATGTAACATAGAAGGACTCTCCATTTTAAGAGTGCATAAATCCGCACAAATTGCTATAATAAGGATCATCCCATAGCCCTTTTGGCATAAAGGCACATCTGGTCTCTGTTTGCAATGAAATCAATTCAAAGCCCCACAGTGCATTAATAATAAAAATGTTCAACATATTGCAACCAAATAAGCCCTGCAAATTTGAGTCTGCAAGATTCTGTCACACGTGTGTATACTTTTAACACTGATAAATGATTAGGTTACAGAACATTTATCAAATGGATTAAGATTCCAAAGGTAGACTTTTTTTTTTTGTAATTATTATTTCCACAGGAAAATCCATATGTATATAAGCTAGAAGCTTTTGCTTGCTTGAATTATAATACCTCTTGGACTTTTATATCTGTAGTTCACAATACCATAAAAATTTTATTAATAATAAAATTATCATAAGCAATACTGCCTGGCTTAGAGGAAGTACATGGATTTCCCCTTTAAGAACAACAAAATTCTAGAATTAGCTCATAGCATAATAGGCTTGTCATTAAATCTTAAATTAAAATAAAATGGAGAATTTTTTCCACATTAATTTAAAAATTATTGACTATTTTGTTTTCAGCAGTTATAATCAACAACAGAGGGTCTAGATCTGGCAAAGCCTTCCTTGTCAGTGACACGATTTACCTTCTGTGTTATATGGCTGACCCAAGGAGAAGAACAGTTGCTAAGGTCTGGTCCTTGGGGATCCCAGATTCCATCAGGAGCCAGGCATAGATAAGTGGATACTCCTAAAATAATGAGAGAAATAGGTCTGTTTCAAATGTTCAAACCATCTTTCTTATAATGACTTTATATCCATAATATGTTCAAATATGAGTAAAGGTAAGACTATTATCATTAAACTGAGGTAATGTCTATTAAAACACCATGTACAGTGCCTAGCAAGCAACTGGCATTACAGAAACATAATACAACAAACACTCAATGTTTTTAAAGCATTTGCTGACAACTATACCAGGTACAGGGAATAACTTCATGAATTAGATGAATGCGGTACCTGACTCCATGGGGCTTACTGCTTGAGTTTTCAGAGGCAAGGTAGCGGTTGAGTCTTAAAGGAATCAGTTTGCAGGTCTTTCGGGAAAACAAGGTGGGTAAGGGCATTCCAGGCAAAGGAAAAATATGCTGTCTTTGGGAATCATCAAGTGTTTTGAATTGAGGTCTACTGGGTAAGGGAGTTGTATTTAATGGAGTTGGAATGGCTGGCAGAGCCAGATCATAAACGCCCTTGTCTGTCATCTGTAGGTGATGGAAAATCAATGAAGACCATTACGGAGAGGAGACAAATGGGCTGATTTAGGCTGTAGAAAGATAACTGTGGCAGGAGCATGGAGGATGAATTTCAGGGAGTGATATGGAAGTTGTGAGGAAGCTATTGCAATAATTCAGGTGAGAAAAGACTGTGTGGGCCTTGAACAGGGGGCACAGCAGAGGCGACAGAGAAAGGGTAAAAAGAAGACCGCAGAGTAAGCACAGTCACCTGGGAGGGAGGGCTTCAGAATGTTTCCTGTAAATCCCTTTCTCAATTTTTGCAGAACAAGAGCAACATATTTCTGTAGTGCTTTGCAGTCTGCAAACTTCTTTCAAATAAAGTATTTCACTAACCTCTACAACAAACATCTGAAGAAAGGGGTGCTGTTGTTATTTCTCTTTTAGAGATAAAGGAACTGAGGTCCAGAACTAAGGGGACAGCGCTAAGAGAAAAGTTCAAAATGTTTTCTGATTCCAATACCACAGAAAACTCTGGAACTAAATATTGTGCCCCTTCATAAAGGGAAGGAAGATCTCAGAATATTTTTAAACACTTTGATGAAAACAAATTAAATGTGCACTTTTATATATCTTCTTATCTTCCCACCACTTCATATACCATGGAATTCAGAAGGACATTTCCACATTGAAACTTTGTTAAGACAAACCTATTGAAGTAACCAAATCAATAACACCCAAAATCACAGCCCCCAACAATGCTAGTCTAGTGACGTCTATTATGCATTTGTTTTATTTACACATTTTATGCAATAATGCAAATTTTATGCAGGGTGTCAATATTAGTTTTATGAAGATCAATATCTGTAACAATAAGAAATCAAACTATTTCTGGCTTAAAATGGTAAATAATAATATGGTTACCATTTGGTGATATTATGAATCACATCAGTGAAAAGAAAAAGGTGGGGGGGCAGAGAGCTATCTAGTTCTTGACTACCGCCTAGAGAAAACAATGCAGGATTGATCTCTCTAGTGGATGCTGTGTAAGAGGAGGTTGGCTCCTGCCAGCATCATCCCTGACTATGTATGTCAAGAGGCTCCAACTATTAAAGGACAGCTATGATGACTGGTAATAAAGGATAGTCAAATCTTCTCTTTTGTTAAATGTTAGGTAGTTTCAATGATCATCTAATACAGAAGTCCTTGATCTAGTTTTCTGCAATAAACATTTGACAATTGGTGACAAGCATGAGAACTAGCTCCCACCAATCCAGTGATTCACTCTGGGCTGTTGCATAGGTGAGCTGGCCCTTTGGAGTAGCTGGGACATCCATAGCTTAATTGTAACTTGACCTCACAGCATGGGTGAAAACTATTGATCTCACAGGTATTCCCACCAAATTCTCACCTGTGACTTCTTCAGGTTGCATTCTCAAACTCTGAAAATACTTGGCTATAAATTGTAATTTAGCTGAGTCCAGAATTTAATCAAATGTTAAGTAACAAAACTATGTTGTGACCAAAAAAAAAAAAAAAAAAAAAAAACTAGGAAAGCAAGCCAAAGTAACAATACACTTTTAGCTCAGCTTTGTAGGACAGACTTACCTATAGTTCCTGCAGGGCACGGCTGCTTTGCCATCTGTCCTTGACGGGTCTTAAACCACATGATTTCTCGAGCTTCCACAGCCTCACAGCTCTCTTCCAGAGCTGGAATTTGGGACGATCCTGATAGAAGGTGTGTGGTAATGTCGTCAAGTACCTCAGCTGCTGGAGATGGGGTGCTGGTATTCCGGTTTCTTCTTCCTGACACCGATGGGGTGGTACTCCTGCCTGGGTTCCAAGTTGTGGTCCGAAGGGTGGTACTGGTGGTGGTGCTTCCTGTGCCAAGAGGTCCTGCGGTAGAGATATCTGAAATAAAATTCAGAAGAAAACGCCTACATTGCTTGTTCACAGTAGGACCTAAAAATGTCCTAAGACTTCAGAAGTCATTTTTATTTGACAATTCAACGAGCCTTAAACATGGGAAAAATAAGCCAATATCAAAATATCAGAGTGCTACTTGAATATCAAGACAGTCATTTGACTAATGCTAAATGTAGGCTTGTTTCTAGTTTTTCTCAACTTCAATTACAGAAAACAAAGTTACAGCACAATTCAACTCTTCAGTAAGCTTTAAGAAGCTTCAGGCCTTTTGGACAATTAGGGGATTAAAACATTTAAAGCCCTCTCCTTAGAATCTTCAAATTTGGTATAGGAAGGGAGAGAGCTATATACAATATTTTTTCCACATTAACTATAATATGAATTTCTAAAGATGTAGCAAAAAAAAAATCAGAAATTAAAGTGCTCACAAGCTAAAAGGTAAAGAGCAATTCTGAGTATAATATCCTTAACACGAATTCGAGTAGCGTGATTTACTCTGATGCTCTTAAAACAGACCCATTGTATCAAAACTTTCAAACTTCACATTAGTAACTTCCAATTAGTGTTCATAAATTATTTTCTAACTAGATTTTTAAAGTGGCATTTTCCAAGTTCCAGATAAAAGTGGTTAGGTTCATTGATCAGATATTAACAGGTTATTAAATCTATAATGTATACAAAGGAATGTCTTAATGATACTATAGAAATAATCACTGCAGAGAATTATCTTTCTGGTAAAATATATTCAGATTCCCATCATAGGAATGCAAGTGTGTACCAGGCCTCCACATATATACACTGCTTTCCTAACTGTAAGATTAGAAACTAGTCTTAACCTCACTTACTGGCAATAAACAGTGGGGGAACTGGCTCTGGTCAGATACAAAGTAGCACAAGTTTAAGAAACTGAAGGGAGAACTGTGCTGAGCCTCCTGTTGTTTGTCATTCATGGTCTGCTTTACCATGTCATCAATTAGACTTTGCTGCCCCAGAAGAGATGGCAAATCCATCATAGTGTATTTGGTGCATAAAATAGAATAGAGATGGCAGGGGGAGGGTCTATGAATTTTTCAAACACTTATTTATTTTTTTAACATCTTTATTGGAGTATAATTGCTTTACAATGGTGTGTTAGTTTCTGCTTTATAACAAAGTGAATCAGTTATACGTATACATATATCCCCATATCTCCTCCCTCTTGCATCTCCCTCCCACCCTCCCTAACCCACCCCCGTAGGTGGTCACAAAGCACCCAGCTGATCTCCCTGTGCTACGTGGCTGCTTCCCACTAGCCATCTATTTTACATATGGTAGTATATATATGTCCATGCCACTCTCTCACTTCGTCCCAGCTTACCCTTCCCATGTCCTCAAGTCCATTCTCTATGTCTGTGTCTTTATTCCTGTCCTGCCCGTAGGTTCTTCAAAACCATTTTAAACACTTATTTAATCATTGAAATTGTAGCATTTCTGAAATGATACTATTTGCTATTTTGTCTTCTTGCTTGTTCTTCTGTTTCCTCTCCCCTTCCTCCTCCATTTTCTCTCGTGTTCCCTCTCCACGTGAATGGTAATGTTCATAACTACATTTACTCAAAGTTCATACAAGAAACCACAGTATCCTTCTTTCCCCTTCTTTTTTTCTGTATACGCCATATCACCCAAATTGCCAAGTCTGGCAGATTCCATCTCATTTAAAAAATTTCTTGGAGACCTTCAACATGGCGGAGGAGTAAGTTGTGGAGATCACCTTCCTCCCCACAAATACATCAGAAATACATCTACATGTAGAACAACTCCTACAGAACACCTACTGAATGCTGGCAGAAGTCCTCAGACCTCCCAAAAGGCAAGAAACTCCCCACGTACCTGGGTAGGGCAAAAGAAAAAAGAATAAACAGAGACAAAAGAATAGAGATGGGACCTGCACCAGTGGGAGGGAGCTGTGAAGGAGGAAAGGTTTCCACACACTAGGAAGCCCGTTCACTGGCAGAGAGAGGGGTTGGCAGGTGGCGGGGAAACGCTGGAGCCACAAAGGAGTGTGCAGCAACAGGGGTGCAGAGGGCAAAGTGGAGAGATTCCTGTACAGAGGATAGGTGCCAACCAGCACTCACCAGCCCGGGAGGCTTGTCTGCTTACACGCCGGAGTGGGCGGGGCTGGGAGCTGAGGCTTGGGCTTTGGTCACAGTGCAGGGAGAGGACTGGGGTTGGCTGCGTGAACACAGCCTGAAGGGGGCTAGTGCGCCACAGCTAGCCGGGAGGGAATCAGGAAAAAGTCTGGAACTGCCTAAGAGGCAAGAGACCATTGCTTTGGGGTGTGCAAGGAGTGGGGATTCAGAGCACTGCAAAAATGAGCTCCAGAGACAGGCGTGAGCCGTGGCTGTCAGCACGGACCCCAGAGACGGGCATGAAAGGCTAAGGCTGTTGCTGCAGCCGCCAAGAAGCCTGTGTGCAGTCACAGGTCACTATCCACACCTCTCCTTCTGGGAGCCTGTGCAGACTGCCACTGTCAGGGTCCCGTGATCCAGGGTCCCGTGATCCAGGGACAACTTCCCTGGGAGGACACACGGTACGCCACAGGCTGTCGCAATATCACGCCAGCCTCTGTCGCCAGAGGCTGGCCCCGCATTCCATACCCTTCCCTCCCCCTGGCCTGAGGGAGCCAAAGCCGCCTAATCAGCTGCTCCTTTAACGCCATCCTGTCTGAGCGAAGAACAGATGCCCTCAGGTGACATACATGCAAAGGCAGGGCCAAATTCAAAGCTGAACCCCAGGAGCTGTGCGAACAAAGAAGAGAAAGGGATATTTCTCCCAGCAGCCTCAGGAGCAGTGGATTAAATCTCCACAATCCACTTGATGTACTCCGCATCACTGGAATAGCTGAATAGACAATGAATCATCCCAAAGTTGAGGCAGTGGACTTTCAGAGCAAATGTAGACATGGGGTTTGCTTTCTGCATCTAATTTGTTTCAGGTCTTATGTTTATCTTAATTTAGTATTTAGAGTTTATTATCATTGGTAGATTTGTTTATTGATTTGGCTACTCTCTTTCTTTTATATATATATATTTATATACATATATATATATTTTTTCTTTTTCTCTTTCTTGTGAGTGTGTATGTGTATGCTTCTTTGTGTGATTTTGTCTGTATAGCTTTGCTTTTAACATTTGTCCTAGGGTTCTGTCTGTCTTTTTTTGTTTTTTTTTTAGTATTGTTTTTAGCGTTTATTATCATTGGTGGATTTGTTTTCTGGTTTCATTGCTCTCTTCTTTCTTATTTTTTTATTACACTAATTTTTTTATGTTTAATAATTTTTAAAATTTTTAAATTTTAATAACTTTCTTTTCTTTCTTTCTCTCTCTCTCTCTCTGCCTCTCTCTCTCTCTCTCTTGCTCTCCTTCCCTTTTCTTCTCATCTTTGTGGCTGACAGGGTCTTCGTGCTCCGGCCAGGTGTCAGGCCTGTGCCTCTGAGGTGGGACGAAAAGAGATCTCCCGGCTACACATGATATCAAATAACAAAAGCTCTCCCAGAGATCTCCATCTTAACGCTAAGAGCTGGCTCCACTCAACGACCAGCAAACTCCTCTGCTGGACACCCTATGCCAAACAATTAGCAACACAGGAACACAACCTCACCCATTAGCAGAGAGGCTGCCTAAAATATGAAAAGGTCACAGACACCCCAAAACACACCACCGGACATGGTCCTGCCCACAAGAAAGACAAGATCCAGTCTCATCCACCAGAACACAGGCCCCAGTCCCTTCCACAAGGAAGCCTAGATAACCCTCTGAACCAACCTTCGCCACTGGGGGCAGACACCAAAAACAATGGGAAACATGAACTTCCAGCCTGCAAAACGGAGACCCCAAACACAGTAAGTTAAGCAAAACGAGAAGACAGAGAAATATGCAGCAGATGAGGGAGCAAGGTAAAAACCCACCAGAACAAACAAATGAAGAGGAAATACGCAGTCTACCTGAAATAGAATTCAGACTAATGATTGTAAAGATGATCCAAAATCTTGGACATACAATGGAGAAAATATAAGAAAAATTTAACAAGGACCTAGAAGAACTAAAGAGCAAACAAACAATGAAGAAAAACACAATAAATGAAATTAAAAATTCTCTAGAGGGAATCAATAGCAGAATAACTGAGGCAGAAGAACAGATAAGTGACCTAGAAGATAAAATAGTGGAAATAACAGCCACATAGCAGAATAAAGAAAAAAGAATGGAAAGAATTGAGGAAGTCTCAGAGACTTCTGGGACAACATTAAATGCACCAACATTCAAATTATAGGCGTTCCAGAAGAAGAAGAGAAAAAGAAAGGAATTGAGAAAATATTTAAGAGATTATAGTTGAAAACTTCCCTAAAATGGGAAAGGAAATAGTCAATCAAGTCCAGGAAGTGCAGAGAGTCCCATACAGGATAAATCCAAGGAGAAACATGCCAAGACACATATTAATCAAACTATCAAATTTTAAATACAAAGAAAAAACATTTAAAGCAGCAAGGGAAAAGCAACAAATAACACACAAGGGAATCCCCATAAGGTTAACAGCTGATCTTTCGGCAGAAACTCTACAAGCCAGAAGAGAGTGGCAGGACATATTTAAAGTGATGAGAGCGCAAAAACTACAACCAAGATTACTGTACCCAGCAAAGATCTCATACAGATTTGACGGAGAAATTAAAATCTTTACAGACAAGCAAAAGCTAAGAGAATTCAGCACCACCAAACCAGCTTCACAACAAATGCTAAACGACCTTCTCTATTCAGGAAACACAAGAGAAGGGAAAGACCTACAATAACAAACCCAAAACAATTAAGAAAATGGCAATAGGAAACATATATATAGATAATTACCTTAAATGTAAATGGATTAACTGCTCCAACCAAAAGACGTAGACTAGCTGAATGGATACAAGAACAAGACCCATACATGTGCTGTCTACAAAAGACCCACTTCAGATC